CCAGATTTGCTTTCTTGAAACATTAGGATCTCAGTGTAGAGAATGCATTGGAGAAGGGCCAAGATGGGACCTGGGACTCCAGTTAGGAGGCTGTGGACAGTGGTCTAGAGAGTGGACGGCATGGCAAGGGAGGTGGTGAGATAGATGGGACTGGAGGTCGCAAGAAGGAGGTTAGGCGAGCGTTTCAAGGGAGAGGGAGATCTCACTCTGGATGACTGGGTTCTTGGATGGGGCCAGGAATAGAGGATAAACTAGATTTCCGCAATGATAGTCAATCTTCCTGTTTGGATTCCTTGTTCTAGATGCTGTGCTGGGCAATGGGGCTGCAGGTGAGGAGTGTAGCTCCTGCCTTTGGGGAACTCACAGTCTGCTGGGGGAGCTGCCTGGCAGCTGGGGCACCCAGGAATGTGGAGGGAGACGGCACAGCGGTGCTGCAGATATACACACAGGAGGAGCTTGTGAGGAGGTGGGACCCAGGCCAAGCCTTCAAGGTCAGCCAGGGCTTCTTCAGGGAAGAGGGGTGGAAGAGGTGACCAGGAGGCAGGAACAGCAAACACAGCACAGAGAGACTGTAAACAGCATGAGAGGACAAGGCAGGGAGAAGGGCTCAGAGGAGGGCTGCCTTCCTCCATGCTGCATGAGGGTCAAAGGAGATAAACTGTTCTTGACATTACCGTGGGGACGGACTTATTTGTGTAACACACCTGAGCCCTCTACACATGCCAGGAATTATGACTTCAGATGCCTGCCTAACGGGACCCTCTGATCCTCTGTCCTAACAATTAGCACTTTTATCGTTATCCCCATTTTACAGGTGGGGAAACTAAGGTCTGTGTGGTTGGGAAATTGCCCAAGCTCTCAAGCAATGAGCAGCACAGAAGCCAAGTTAAACATAGCTGGTCTTTCTCACTTTTGAGAGGTCAGTGCTGATAGGGCGCCCAGGATGGGAGGTAAAGGGCCTGTATCCTATGCAGTCTTCAGAGTATCTGCAGCTGGCTAGAGAATCAGGTTCAGTTAGGCAAGTCAGCCATGCCCAAGGACAGCTGGCCTGTGGCTGAGAAGGGCTGACTCCAGCCCACATCTTCTAGCCAAGTTCCATGCTCCCTTCCACTCAGCACTGCGATCGCAGCCCCAGCACACTGGAGGAGGTGGGCATTTTATAGATGGGGAGACTGGCAGGGAACTGTGGGGCCAAGTGGCAATAGTCAGTGTCAATGAGGTTTTCATGGTGCCCCTGAGGGCAGTTTTGTGCATAGGAAAACTTGTCAAGGCCATTTTGGTTTTAAAAAAGAATGCTTAAGTGAGCTGGGGATATAGCTCAGTTGGTAGAGTGCTTGCCTTGCATGCACAAGGCCCTGGGTTCAAAGCACCACAACAAGAAGGAAAAAACAAACAAAAAAAAAGGAGTAAGCAGGGATGCAGGATTAAAAAAGAATGCTTAATTTATAAAAGTAAGAAAGTAAAAAATCCAGTGGGATGTAACAATGTCTGTTAGGAAGAACCTTATTTATAACTTAATTCAACTCCCCTAAATAATTTAAGTTAAATTATAAATACTTTAAAATAAATGGAGCATAAAAATATGTTGGGTATCAGGTTGTCACAAAAGTCCCATTATTGTTTTTATAGCTGTCTTATATTTTTCAACTTTAAATTACAAGTCTCATTTAATAGATCAATGGCTTGCCTAGACCTGTGCAGGAAACAGCCTGCCAATCTGTCACCAGCAGGGCCAGGGCAAAGCCAGAAGCTTTTCTTCCCCAAAGTGCCCTGAAAACATGTCGGTCCCATCTCCCTTTCCTTCTATCTCATCAGATGCCATGACGGCAGCTGGTTGAAGGGTTTAATGCTATTTACTTTCTTCTCAAGTCCCATCCACCAGAATTTTCGATAGTACAAAGAAGTTGAATTTTGCTTTTCTCAACATGAAGAAAAGTTAAAAGAGTTTCTGCTATTTGGTCTTCTTACTTAAAAGATCCAACATTGCTTATTTTAAAATTGCCCAACAAAGGGACCCATTGCCAGGCAAACACTCTTACGCCTAGATTTTATTTCATGATAAAATATAGGAAGTAAATGTTCAGGCTTTCATGGTAAGTGGCAAAGGGTTTGTTTCGAGACAGAGCCTCACTATGTTGCCCAGAATGGTCTGGAACTCCTGAGCTCAAGCGATCCTCCCATTTTAACATACCCAGTGGTTGGGACCCAAGCATGTGCCACCATGCCCAGGCACCAAAAGGGTTTTAATTATTCATTTAATATCCTGATTATATTACAAACTTCCTTATAAAAAGAAAAAAGTACATAAGAAAAACTAAAATAAATTATCATTCTAACTTAATTATTCTATTACATGATCACAAGATGAATCTATTATTCTAAGATGACAAAGTATCTTAAACATTACACATAGTTTCAAGCTAAATCAAAGCAGATTTTTCCTAAAGTTAATACAATAAAAAGTTAACAGTTTGCGATTAACTTATCAGTTCTAATCTTAATTCTAAACTATCTCATGATTAAAGACATTTAGCTACTAAGGGAAAGTATTTACTAATCAAATCAATACAAGGTTATTGATCCCTGCAATTTTGGGGTTAGTGTACAGCTGGCTGAGAGTGCTTATTAGACTGAGGTTTCGGGGGGTGTCATGGGAGGCAATGCCACAAACATCCAGAGAAACTCTTTCCTGCCCAAGGCTATAGCTGAGGAGCCAGGCTTGTTTATGATCTCCATGCCAACAGGGCACTCCCATGGCCTGCCAATGGGGTAGTTCTGTAGCCCAAGCCCCTGAGATCAGGCTTAACCCTGGTCACCATCTTTTGCCCCCTCTGAGCTTTATCACCCCATCAAGAAGACTGTGCCCAGGTCACTAAAGGCCTGAGAGGATACCTCTAATCGATTCCCTGCTTGATTCTGTTCTGAATTCAGTTTTTCATTTTCCTCTCTGGCTAGCTACCAATGACTAGAATGGTTTTTTTTTTTTTTTTTTTTTTTTTTTTTTTTTTTTTTTAAATATTTATTTATTTATTTATTTTAGTTCTCGGCAGACACAACATCTTTGTATGTGGTGCTGAGGATCGAACCCGGGCCGCACGCATGCCAGGCGAGCGTGCTACCGCTTGAGCCACATCCCCTAGAATGGTTTTAATATCATCTTTGGATCCTGCATACTCCTGGCTCTGTCCTCATGGCCAGTACAACTGCGCTTTGTGCTGAGCCAGGAGGCCTCCTTCAGCTCTCCCAGCTACTGTGATACTCAGAGACAGCGAGGGAACTGGACAGACAGACTGCCTGCCACAGTGGACCCCGATGACAGGGGTCAGCCCCTAGGCAGCTTGAGATGCCAAATTCAGTGAAAACCTTCTAGATCACGACTTAGAAGAAGAAAAACAGCCCAAATTTGTGTAATTTTACTTCTAAGCACATAAATAGAAAAAATAATCATAAAACTGCTCAATCCTACCTTGGTACCAAGCACTCTGTGTGCAGAACTCTATCATCACAAACTTGGGAGGAATTTCACTATTCCCAACCAATAGATGACAAGGGAGGCCCAGAGAGATTAGTCCATAATGAGGTGAGGAAGCGTTGCCAGGTGGAGGTGTCACTGGAGCAGCTGCAAGAAGCAGGTAAGACTATTCCTGAAAGCCTGGGAGGACCTGTGAAGATGCTGACGTGGTTCTAAGCTCACGAACCTTGTGGTGAAGAGTAGAAGACTAATAATTAGAGCTCCCTTGCACTGAGCACCTGCTCTGTGACAGACCCTGGAGCAGGAAAGACCACAGATCAATCCCAGGGCAGAAAGACCCAGACCTTAGTCCCTGGTGTCCCCTCACTGCCTTCTTCACTTGCCCTCTCTGGACCTCAGTTTCTTCATTTAAAATCTAGAGTAATAAAATCCTACCATGTGCTTCCTAGGGCTGCCGTGTTCTGAAATGAGATATGAGAAGTGATTTGGAAGGCGTCATGTGCCCAGGGGTGCCAGGGTCTGTGGCGCCAGTTGAGCAATACCTCTCTTGAGTGGTGGCTTTTAGTCTGGCCTTCGAGGAAGGGGTGAGAGCTGGCCAGGCCGGAGTGTGGCAGTGTTTGTCACATGCTCTCTGCAGGTGGGTGAGTCAAAGGATGGGGAGGTGGCTGCAGTGAGGACTCTTGGCTACAGGAAATAAGTCCAAAAGCTTTGGAGCAAGAGAGAGCAAGGGTTCAAGGAGAGTAGAGGAAATGCAAGTGGGGACAGAGGGAGGGACAGGCCCCCCCTCACTGCCTGAATGGGGAGTCCCAGCCAGTTGCCTACCAGAAGTGGGGTGTGGTGGGAGTGTTGTAGGAAATAATGGGGTGTACTGTCTCTAGAAAACTGAAAAGCAATAATGGAACTAGTTAAAAGTCGATCTAGTTTGTATTATTATCATGTGCTTACCATTCTAAAAAATATTGGTAATAAGTACTTTTCCCTTTACGGGGGTGAGAAGGAAGACATTCCTACTACCCCCTTTCATGTTATGTGGTGACCCCTTGCCCTTCCCAGAAATCAGCTCTTAATGCTACAGGGAGAAAAGAAACTTGGAAGTCCTTGAAAACAAGGACGGAGTGGTCCAGCCTGTAGGGTCACCTGAGTGGAAGGCTAAGATGGCCCCAGGATGGGACCAGCAAGCCTCGAGGGATAAGTAGGGGCCTGGGTGGAGTTTGGGCTGGACTGGCTACTGGGATGCCCACTGGACGACTCCAAGTCCAGCTGCAGTACTGCCGTTGTCACCCAGGCACTGTCCCCTGTGCCACGTGCAGGTTATAATCAATTGGCAAACACATTGATTGACTGGTTCCTGCCCTTCACCCACCCCACATTTTTCACTAACACAGAAATCAGATTCTCCTCCTGCCTCACCAATAAGGACCGCCCTGCCCAAGCTCCACTAGGCCAAGTTTTATCAGGCAATCTGTGCTCTGCCTTATCCCTGGCCCAAGTTCTGTCCTCACAGTGACCACCTTTTTCTCCTTTGCAGGAGCCCAGTCCAACCTGCCGGAGAGACACATAAGAATCAAGGTCCTGTAGCCACAGAGGCAGACAAGGATCAAGGTCCTGTGGTCCCAGGGCTTCTGAAAGGTCAAGGCCCTGTGGTCCAAGAGCCTCCAAAGGATCAAGGTCCCATGGTCCCAGGACCTCCAAAGGATCAAGGTCCTATAGTCCCAGGGCTGCTGAAAGGTCAAGGCCCTGTGGTCCAAGAGCCTCTGAAGGATAAAGGTCCTGTGGTCCCAGAACCTCCAAAGGATCAAGGTCCTGTAGTCCCAGGACCTCCAAAGGATAAAGGTCCTGTGGTACCAGGATCCCTGAAAGATCAAAGTCCTGTGGTCCCAGAACCTCCCAAGGATCTAGGTTCCATGGTCCCAGAACCAGCCAAGGACCAAGGTCCCTTGATCCCAGAGCCTGTGAAGAACCAAAGTCCTATGGTTCCAGCTAAAGTTTTAGATCAAGGTTCCATGGTACCAGCATTTCTGAAGGATCAAAGTCCTGTGGTTCCAGCACCTGCTAAGGATCCAGGTCCCTTGGTCCCGGAGCATCAGAAGGATCAAAGTGCCATGGTCACAGCACCTATAAAGAGTGAAGGTCATATGGTCTCTGGGCCTGGAAAGAGTCAAAGTTTAGCAGCCCCAGAGCCAGTCAAGGGTCAAGATGTAGTGGTCACTGAGCATCTGAAGGGTCGTGATTCTGTGGTTATGTCACCTGTAAAGGATCAAGGCCCTGTGTTCCATGAGTTTATGAAGCACCAAGACCCTATTATCCCAGCACTAGCCAAGGATCAAGGTCCTATGGTCTCCGAGCCTCCAAAGAATCAAGTCCCCATGGTCACTGAGCCTATGAAGAAGCAAATTCCTATAACCCAGATGCCTCTGAAGGATCAAGATCCTCTGGTGCCAGCACCAGCAAAGGACCCAGGTCCTACGGTTCCTGAGCCTCTGAAGACTCAAGGCCCCAGGGGCCCTCAGCTGCCCACTATCTCACCTCCACCCCCTGTCATGATCCCAACTGTCCCTCATGCAGAATATATTGAAGGGTCCCCTTGATGCCCCACCCCTTGATGTACCATCAAAGGAGCTGGCCGTGGAAGGGCTCCTCCCCTCCCGGGGCAGCGAAGACACAGTTAATCTGCATGAAACGTGCTGTATAGTCTTGCTGAAATCTAATAAAACTGGTCCTTCTGGTTCAGCAGTGTCTCCTTCCAGCTCTGTGGGGGAGGGGGCACATGCGTATACATGCCAGTTTGCTCAATAGCGTATACTCTCGAAAGCAGGCAGGCAGGCCCACCTGGGCCAGAGGAGTCTAAGAAATGCCCAGTGTTTAGCTTTTGTGGCTTTTTGGCCAAAATGCCCCCAAAAGAACAACTTAAAGGAGGGAGAGTTTATTTGGTACTCACAGTTTCATAGATGAACCACTCCATCGCTCTGGGCCTGAGCACATCATCAGGGAAGGACCCAGCAGAGGAAAGCTGCTCAGCTCATGGAGGGGTCAGGAAGCAGAGACAGAGGGGGAAGGGGCTGCAAGGAAGACCAACCAGTCTGGCCATGCCCCCAGTGACTCACCTCCTCTAGCCACACCCCACCTCCTATGGTTACCATCCAGTCAGTCCATTCAAACTAGGAGGGACTGATTAGATTACAGCTTTTGTAATCTAATCATTTCACTTCTGAATATTCCTGGATTAACTGCAGCTGCCGGGTACCTCATATCCAAACCATAACTTCTAGTTCCTGTGAGTTATCAGCATGAGATGGGAGTGGGCAGGTGATGCTAGGACATCAAGGACAAAATCCCTCATGAAAATGATCAAGACAAGCCAAGGTTCAGAGCCCATGGAAGCCTAGCAAGGGCTACCAAATCCCAGCAGGCTGAGCCCTGGATGGGCTAGAGTTGGAGCCTGCAGATGAAACAGGATCAGGGACACAGCTTGGCCCAGAGTAATGCTGGGTGATAATTATTTGTCACAGACTCCATTTTAAAGCTCACACAAGAGTTAAACTTCTTGAGAAAATTAGGCCTTTGATCATGAGTGTCAGGAGACTACGGAGAGCAGAACCTGCTCTGATGATCTTCATTCAATATCCATGACGGCTCAACCAGGGGCTTCTAAAAAAAAAAATGCCTTGAACCTGGTACAACAGCACATGCCTGTAGTCCCAGCTACTTAGGAGTTTGAGGTGAGAAGATCACTTAGGCCCAGGGGCTCAAGGGCAACCTGGGCAACAAACAAGACCCTGTCTGAAAAAAAATTTTTTTAACTGGGTGTAATGGTTCAAGCTGGTAATCCCAGTGACTTGGAAGGCTAAGGGAAGAGTATCACAAACTTGAGGCCAGCCTTAGCAATTTAGCAAGGCCCTAAGCAACTTAACAAGTAGCAAGATCCTGTCTCAAAATAAAAAAATAAAAAGGACTTGGGATATGGCTCAGTGATTAAGCCCCACTGGTTTTAATCTTCTCTCTCTCTCTCTCTCTCTCTCTCTCTCCCCTTAACAAAATAAAAATAAAAATGCCTGAAGTCCCCCATTCATTCGTATATGCACCAGACTTTTCCTCAATACCTACTTTGTGCCAGGATTAGGGTCACTGTGGTGAAGAATCACAGTCTTATGAAAATAAAATGGGGTGTGGGACCAGGCCCCAGGACAAGTAAAGGCCTGGTCTTGAGAGGACAGTTAAAGGGGGATACCCACTGGGGAAGACAGGAAGGCTTCCTGTGGAAAGTGGCTGTGGAGTTGGGCCAGGGTGCTGGACCACCCAGGCAGGGAGCAGAAAGGGGCAACCCGGGTGTGCCTGGAGGGCCAGGGAGAGGTTCCTCCAGAAGGCATTGAATGAAAGGATCTGGTTTGCATGAGGACTTAACTAAGGAGTTGGCAGTTCTTTGGAGCAAAAAATTGGGACCTGTTAGGGATGATCAGTCTTATGAATCCCAGGACATCAGGGAGAGGGAGTAGGGTCAGCCCTGTGACCTGTGACAGTGGTGCTGGCGGGCTGAGGGAGAACCACAGCCAGGCCACAGGGAAGAAGACGGGGGAGCCTAAAGCTCAGCCTTGGTCAGAGATGGGTCCTGCCAGTATCCCACTGCTGTGGGCCTCAAAGTCCATGGTGACCTCCTTCTTAAAGTCCAGAGCCCTCAAGGGTCTGGGGAGGGTGGGGAGCTCCACCCATTGTCCCTACCAAAGTTGGCTTTCAAAGAACATGCCTGACCCTTTTGAAGATCATTGTTAAAGGCCCTCCCTTAAAGGAGCTCAGCTCAGTTCTTAGATCATCACAGGAGGCTCTGATGACTACTGAACGAGCCTTCCCATCCTGCCCACCCCAGCCTGCCTCCTTACCCGGTTCCCACAGCATTGGGGCTTTCTGTTCCCAAAAGCCCCTGTGGACACATGCATGTGGGTGTGCACACGCACACACATACACACACACACACATTGTGATGTTTCTCCTGGCCCCCAGAGCTTGCTGCCAGATGAGCTCTCCTAGTCAGGAACCTGAAGATATGAAAAGGCCACACTGAGGCTAAGGTGATGCTAGGACATCAAGGACAAATATTCCTGGATTAACTGCAGCTGCCGGGTAGGGAAGCCTTTCTCCTCCTCCTTTCAGTTCTTTCTCTGACCCCACACCTGGTCCCATGACAAACAGGCCAGGAAAATGATGGCACCATCACCTCAAGCAAGCGTCTCTGCAGGCCTCCCAGACACCAGGGCCCATGTCCAGGGTGCCATTGGCTACCAGGGCTCCACCGCTGAGGAGAAACAGGTGGGAAGCAGGTCTGGCAGTCAGTGTCCCTGGGTGTGACTGGGAGGGACTGCTGGTCACTGAAGCAGACTGGGGAAATCTGGAGGGAAGAAGTGAGCCCCATACAAAAATCCTTCTAGAAAAGAGAAGCCCGAACTGTAGGGAGGAACCAGGGGCCTGAGAGGCCCAGCATGGTTCCAGAGACTCAGAGGTGCCCGGCATCAAGAGGTGGGACAGACTGCAGATGAGGAACCATGGCTGGCGGGGAGATTTGGCAGCTTCCCTGGGAGCCAGTGCGGCTGCTTCAATATCTTCAATTGTAAAAAGTACTGATGTCAGAAGAGGACCCGAGGGAGAACACCTCCAAGTGTGAAGCTGCAGGCTGCAACCACTCCCACTCCTGTCTGGGTTCAGCTCAGGTCTCCACCGCCCAGAGGGTAGGTGAGGACGCAGGTGAGGGTGCAGGTGAGGGGTTCAGGGCCTTCCAACCCAGACTGGGGCAGGGAAAGGCAGAAAAGGAAACAGGCTCTGGCCTCCTGGGAGGCAGACCTCATTGGTGGCCTGGTTCCTTGCTGGCTAAAATGAAGAAAGATGAAGGACCCCTGGGCCATACGCCCCAGGCGTGAGGGGAGTCTCTGGAGGGAGGCTCCCGCTGCTGGCCAGGTCAAGTCCAACCGGCGGAGGCCAGGTAGGCCAGGGGCCCGCATGACAATACCATGCCAGAGGTGTCCAGGCTCTCAGCAGCCCCGGGCCCACAGAGCCTTGCTGTGCAGCTGGACTCCGGGTTCACCGGCAGCCGCAGACAGGAACAACGTCCCCGGGCGCGAGTGTGCAGAAGAGGCCTTGGGAGGCTCCAGAGAGGCCCAGAGCCTGCCCATTGCCCACTGCTCTGGTGCAGGCCCGGAGGCCCTCTCTCCTCGTTGGCGCCCCCGGTGGCCGATCCCGGGAAAGGCCGCAATGTCATTTCTTTTGTCACACAAGGATCCCCGTATCAGTAACTTCTCCCTCCACACCCAGGAGGCCTGAGAGCCCACGTGAGCCTTGCCTGCTGTGTGGCCTCAGGCAGCCACTTCACCTCTCAGAGCCTCTTCCTCGCCTATAAACTGGCATAGGAACAGCTACTCCTTAGGGAAGCTCTGAGGATTAAATGAAATTGTACAAAGCAGTGCCAGGCTCCTAGTGGGAGCTCAGTGAGGGTTAATCCCGCTCCCTGCACCCACATCTAGAACCCTCTGGATCCAGCAGCTGCTCCTTTCTGAGACTTTAACAAGCACTATAATGGGAACAGGGTGATTCTTCCAATGGCTTCCAGGGGGCAGGAGAGCTCCACACAGGGAGGGGATGGCCCACCGTGGGGCGGGGAGTGTTCAATGTGCAGCCCAACTTCCCATTTCCGTTGCCCCCACTCCTATTACCACCCCACCTTCCCTCCCCATTCACCTGTCACCTGCACCAGGCCCTCCCCACCCCCTCTGCGGGGTATTGGAGGGGCAACTTGGGAGCAGGAGGAGCAGCTTGGCTTCAGGGCCTCCTTGGGGGTGATATGGGGGGTCACACCCAGGCCTGGCTCATCTCACTGCCCTTCCCAGTTCTGCTGCACTGAACTTCAGAGGCTGGAGCCGGGGTTCCCACTCCCTACTCAGGACTCAACCTAAGGATTAGAAAGACTTCCCAGCAGGAAGCAGTAGGCATGGAGTCCCTGCTACTGAGGTTGAGGGAAGAAGAGTTGAGTTAAAGGCCAACATAGTGAGGCCCATCTCAACGACTTCCCACCTTGCTGGGCTATTGCAGGGGTTGGTTAAATCACTCCCGGTCATCAGCAGGTTACACACCTTCATTATTAGAGCTGGTCAGTTCCTCTCCTGCCCTTCCCCCTGAGGTGTGGAGACAGGAGCAACTTCCCAAGTGACTAGATCAAACTCCAGGTCACCCTCACTGGCCAAGAGGCCTCAGGTGTCTCAGCTTTGATGTTACCTGTAAAATAGGGCTGATCCCTACCCAGCCCAGCTGTAGGAGGCCTGGATAAAAGGACCCACCAAATAGTCACAAAACACAAAGTGGTACCGGCAGGTATTACTAAAATCATCACTCTGATCAGGAGGTACCTCCTCACCCTTCTCGGCAGCCCACCTGTCACCTCATTCTGGGAACCAGAAGCAGCCATGGCTTCCTCCTCTGGATTCCCCAATCCATGGTTCTCTTCTAGAACAGCCTTTTCATATACTCCACAAAATGGTCTTAATGCCTTGTTAACTGTATGATGCCACCTGTAGACCCAGGACAGGAACCTGCGTATGATGAGGAACAGACAGACATGACCCTGTTCTCAGGAGCTTCCATCTCATGAAAGGCAGACGGGGAAAGTACACCATTAGTGGTCAGTGTCATAATGCCAAGTCAGTAAAATGAGAAAATGTGGTATAGAAACGGAGGTAGGAGCCGGGCGTGGT